CCCTATGCAAGGTCACTATGAGTCAGAAGCGATTCAGCGACACTTAACTGCAAGATTAATCTGACCCAATCTTTTTTTTTTTTTTTTTTTTTTTCCTTTCAAAAATGATTGTGTGAGGGGACTTTAAATAGCTCATGGAAGAATGAAGAGAGTGGAACTTTTCTACAGGTTTTTTGAAGCCCCCTTGTACTGTCTTTATGGCAATTTGGTATCTCATTGTAAAATAAAGTAGACAGAATCATACATCAGAAAAATACCACCCAATTAACGGTGGCCAGCCACCTCTTCCTTCAGTCTCCAGAGAACTACAGTTGCCATGTTGTCGAGCTCATGCAGAGACAACTCTCTCTGCAAAGATAGAGAAGTTGATGAATGTATATAATATATGACATAAATGGGAACATACCATATAAGAAACCTCTAACATTCATGACTTACCAGGATACCAGGAGGGCAAATTGAGATCTCATTCCCATGAGGAGAAAGCTAGAGCAGGCTCCGGATCACACTAGAGAATCAGAAGAAAGCTCTTCTCACAGTTGTCCGGAGACAGTGTATCTCTTGGCTTCCAGCATTTTTATGGTGAAAAGACTCCAGCACAACTACAGGATAGAGCACTTTTTTCTCAGGCTTTCTGCATAAAAATATTTCCTTCTTCAAAGAGGAGTTTTACAGATTTTCTTTTACAAAGAGGCGTTAAAATGAGCTTCTTGTTGTAACTCAGCGCTGTCGAGTGGGTTCCAACCCATAGCAACCCTATGTAGGTTTTGAGGCTATAAATCTTTAAGGGATCAGAAAGCCTCATCTTTCTCCCATGGAGCAACTGGTGGGTTTGAACTACCGCCCTGTGGTTAGTAGTCCAATGCTTATCCTAAAGTACCACCAACACTCCTTAAAAAAAAGCTGTTAGGACACTGAGATTTTATTTTCCTTTTAAACTCCAGTACCCTCCCTCTGTAAGTTCATTTCTTTACCAAAACTAAGCCGGCTATGGGTTACATGATTTATGAGACAAATTTTAAGTCTACCAAGCGTGGTAACGATAGTGAAGTTGGCCCAGGATCGGACAGTGTTTCGTTCTGCTGTGCATAAGGTCGCTGTGAGTCAGCACCGACTCGATGGCACCTAACAACAACAAACACCCAGAGATATTCCCTGGTTGCCAATTGCAGCATTTGATACAAAATGAGGAACAGCAGTAATAATCTTCAGTTCAACAAATGTCATTGTTAAAAAGCTTCATTTGCACAGTGTGATTCTGTAAGTAAGGAGTTGGGCCCTCACCGGCAGCCGCAGTTTCCGCTGCGGCCTGGCTAGCATGGCAGGGCCTCCAGGTGATGCTGATGAGTGCCCAAGTTTGAGCACCTTGTATTTAGGGAAAGAAAAACTGGCCTCAATCCCTAACACACCACCTTGTGTTTGTTTTTGTTTTTTAAAATGTTTTTATTGTGAACTATGTGATAGTTTACATGGGAGAACATTAGCTTTACATTCATCCTGTCGTATATGGTTACATTACCTTGGTTACAATCCCTTCCATGACATTACCTTGGTTACAATCCCCTCCATGAATCATCAACCAACCAAATGGTACACCCCGCAAGATTGCCCTCTGGTCGTCAGCACACAGCCCCCTTCCTCTCTGGGTCTAGAGTCCCCAGCCGCTCCATCTCTCCATGTCATCGTCTCTGCCTCCATCTCTGGTGTCACTGCTTCTCTGGGTAGGGTCCTGCTCTCCCTTCTTCTCCCTTGATGGTCCCAGGGACCTCCGCTCCTAGACTGAAAAGTTAACCACTCCCATCCTTTTGCCACAAAACATCTACCTTTACATTTCCAACCCTCACCATCAGTCCTGGTAACAGTTATTTACTATTGTATCACAACAGACCTGTCCGCATTTCTTTTCATTAGCCCCACCTAGACAGATTAGATACCACCTTGAGGTTTTTCATTGTGGTGGAATTTGGGCGGAGTCCTCACGCTGGTCCATGTTGTATTGTCCTTTCCGAGGGGGTTGCAGTCCAAAGCTCAGTGTTTTCTTCTCGGGATTTTATGATTTCACCAAAGGCAACGTGGCACATAGTGTGTTTTCATTCAGCATTCTGTAGCTTAGCTGTAGGCAAGGTTCCCTCAAGCCCTCTAGTTAATCATCAATGGGATGTGTTTAAATTAACAAACATTTTAAGCATACAGAAAATAAAGATTATAACCACGTGTGTGTGTACCTACAGTCAGATTTAACAAGTGCTTACATTTTGGCCATATTTGCTCTGCTCTTGCTAGTAAGGATATAAAATATTATAGATCAAGTCTAAGTCCCACTTTGTATCCTCCTGGCACCCCCTGGTTAACTACTGTTCCAAAGTTAATCCCATATAGAGAAAGGCTGAGAGAGGGGCAGGCAGTGGTGGCTCAGTGGTAGAATTCTCACCTTTCATGCAGGAGACTCAAGTTCAAGTCCCAGCTGAATCTCATGCAGAGCTGCCACCCATCTGTCAGTAGAGTCTTGTGTGTTGCTGTGATGTCGAGCAGATAGATTTCAGTAGCGCTTCCAGACTAAGACAGACTAGGAGAAGAAAGGCGTGATAATCTACTGCAGAACAGTCAGCCGTTAAAACCCGTCTGGATGACAGTGGTCCAATCCCATCGCATATGGGGTAGCCATGAGCAGTGCCGATTCAAGAGCTGCTCACATAACGATGTTTTATGAATTTCTAAATGTACATGTGGATGTAGTGGATTCACTTTACCTGCTATTGGCTGCTTGGTTTGGGGTAGAATGAGTAAACCTCAGTGCGTGGCTTCAAGTCCCCGCTGACAGGCACTGTGCACGTGTCTGCTCCTCAGTGTTAGAGGTGAATATCCTTGTTCTTACTCACCAAGAGTTTCTCTGAGGACTTACCTCCATCTTCTGTCTTCATCAGAAACAGCATCTTAGTCTCAGCTCATTCACAAATAAAACAAGTTCAAGGCAGCATATAGCATTTGGGTGTTATTTGGGGAGATCATGGGCTTTGAAATAAGATTGATTTGGTTCAAATCCCTGCTCTGCTTGGTCTCAGCTCTGTGACTCTGGTAAAGATCCTCTGTGGCATCACAGTTGCTTGGTCTAAATGAGATCAGATAGGTGATAGGTGCAGTAGGGCTGGCCCGTTAATTCTCTTTGTTAACACTGCACAGAGTTGGAGTGAAACAGGCACAGTAATCCCAAGCGGTATCCATGGCAGCCATGCCTAAAGAATTGTCTCTCATAGGGTTAAGTAAGCAGCTAGGGCTCCTCTCATCAGTTGAAAACCCAGTTGTCAGTGTATGGTATATGAGCACACGAAAAGACTCTAACATCATTTGTCGTTAAAAAGCCGAAAAGGCAACGCATTACCGTTGAGTCGGTTCTGACTCATGGCAGCTCCAGGTGGTGTTATAAAATAGAAACTGCTTCACAGGATTTTCTCAGCAGGAATCTTTACTGAAGCAGCTCGCCAGGTTTGTCGTCCCTTATATGGATGGGTGGGTTTGGACTGAAAGCATTTAGGTTCATGTTATTGTTGTTAAGTACCATGGAGTCGGTTCATAGTCAGGTACAAATCATGCGTACCACACGGGGCCCTCCGTTAGTCATTGCTACTCACTGCCATCAAGCCATTTCTGACTCCTAGAGACCCCATAGTACAAAGCAGGACTGCGGCTGCCTTGGATTTCTAAGGCCTTAAGTCTTGACAGGAACAGACAGCCTCATGTTTGTCCCACAGAGTAGCTGGTAGGTTTGATTTGTTTGCAGTCCAATGCTTAACTCACTGTGCCACCAGGGCTCAGGGAATGCCAACTAAAGCCACAATGAAAGACTGCCTTATACCTATTAGAACGTCTGAAATGTGAACAGTCAACAACACCAAGTGCTGATGAGATTCTGGAGCAACTGGAACGTCGACACACGGATGGCTGGAAAAGGACCCCTGCTGGCACAGTGGTTAAATGCTCAGTGGTGGGAAAGTAACATGGTACCAACACTTGGAAAACACTTGGATAGTTTTTTAAAAAGTTAAATGTAAATTACCATTCCACTCTTAATAATTTACCCAAGAGAAAGGAAATCACGCAGCCACTCAAAGACCTATACAGAAATGTCCATAGCAACTGCAGTCATTAAAAATCCATGAACTCTATGGCCGTGAAAGTAAACATTTTGGGATAGACAGATACTAAGGGATTTTGTAAAGGTCACACCAGCACTCCAAAACATACTAAAGGGAATTCTTTGGACTGAGAATCAACAATATCAGACAACAACCAGAGATTGACATATGTAGCAACATCTCCCAGAACCAGTCCAGAGGTGGAAGAGTCCAGGGCAGAACAAAACTACAAGATAGAAATGAAAGGATCTGGGATGTCAGTCTATCAACAGGATAACTACGAAGGGAATAGTTTAGTAACAGAGATCCAGGTGGTTAGGAGGTCAGGTAGCTCTCAGAGTAAAACAGACTGTCATAAAAACAGGAAGAACTTAATAAAATATACAGTAACCTCAAAGAAGCTTAATACATCTCCACATCAAGTCAAGAAAAATCCGTAAACTCAAACATGCTGAACAGGAGAGTGGGTAAACAAATGTTAGTATCCATATTATGGAATACATCTCATCAATAAAAATAAGTGAACTGATACAATAGCAAATAATTGTTATCAGGACTGATTGTAAGGGCTGGAAATGTAAAGGTAGACGTTTTGGGGCAAAGGGAGGGAACTAATTAACCTTGCAGTCTAGGAGCGGAGGTCCTTGGGACCATCAAAGGACAAGAGCGGACAACGGAACCCCTACCCAGAGAAGCAGAGATGCCAGGGATGGAGGCAGAGATGATGACGTGGGGAGATGGAGCAGCTGGGGACTTTGGACCCGGAGAGGGAGAGGGGATGTATGCGGATGCCTGGGGGGTGGGGCAGGCTTGCAGGGTATACCCTTTGGTGGATGGATGATGAATGGAAGGGATTGTAACCATGGCAAGGAAACGATATACAAAGGGATCAATGTAAAGCTGATGTTCTCCCATGTAAACTAACACATAATTCACAAGCATTAAAAAAGAAATAAGTGAACTATTTATGCACAGAACAACATGGGTAAGAGAAGTCAGACAAACATAACTACTGTATTGTCATCTGTTTATATGAAATTTCAGAAAATGCAAACTCAACTCTAGTGACAGCAGATTCATGGTTGTGGAGGGGCAGGAGGGAGGAAGTTCATGAAGGGAACTTCAGGGGGCATGAGGGGGACGATGAGTTATGTAGGTGATCTTGATTGTGGTGATAGCTTTGTAGCCATAAATGGACAAATCTCTTCAATCATGCAGTTCATTGCACATGGGTAATATAGCAGTAAAACTGTTAATTTGTATAAAGCTAGCCGTTACTTTGTATAGAGCCCTCAAACCCAGGGCCCATTTAAGCTCACAGAGACCCTTCTTCAGTGTTGGCGCTGGGTTTTCTGAGGCAGCGCTGCACATAGCACGCCTGTCTTCTGAACATGAAAGGGTTTGCTTGGGTCATTCAGCTGTATTCAAGGATCAGTCTGTGATCATTGTTCATGGAATATTAGAAAGTTAAGATAAATTTAATCTAAGCCCTTTTGCGAATAGTTCGCCACAACTCATTTTCAGGATAAAAATTCATATCCCAGAATTTAAAAAATTGAACAAGAACCAGCTAAAGCACTTAAAAAAAAAAAAGTTTGGTGAAAATATACACAATGCAGAATATACCATCTCAACAATTTCTACATGTACATTTCAGTGACATTGATTACATTTTTTTTTAAACTTCATTGTGGATTGGGTGAAGGTTTACAGAGCAGATCATCAGTTTTACATTCAACAAATCACTCACTTTGTTTCATCTTACTGATTGCAGTTCCCTCCATGTAATACCATATCCCACTTCCTCCCTGGGGTGTTTGTTTCCATCCCTTCTCCTTACCTAACCTGATTACAGTCTTCAGGTTGCGTGATCACATATTTGTTAAAGCTTACAAGTCTTTAATGTTCAGCCAGACATTCTATTTTTCATGTATTTTGACATACTCATATGACCTTGAAAAGTTCATCTAAACAATGCCTGAGACTTTTTTCAAAATCAGTGTGATTGTTGTTGTTAAGTATCATGCAGTGGTTTCCGACTCATAGCAACCCTGTGTAGGATTTCTGAGGCCTTAAATCTTTAAGGGAGCCGAAAGCGGGCTTGAACCGTGAATCTTGTGGTTCACAGTCCATTGCTGGTCATGTGACTGTTATTAATTGCCATCAGGAGTCATTACTATTTAAGCCAAATTATTTACCTGGGTAAGTTCTAAGAAATAGAGGAACTTGGTTATCTTAGTATTTGCTGTGCTACTTTTATCTGTAATACCTGAAGGCAAGGAAATGCCTCCCAAGTAGTTACCATCTGTGTCTGTGCCAGTGTTACTGTAAATAGTGTTCAGTGCTTTTTGCTTTCATGAATGCTTGCTTTGTGTTCTTTTGCCAGGATGATTTTTCTCCCACAAGTAAGCTTCAGCGTTTACTGGCAGAATCCCGTCAGATGGTGTCTGATCTGGAGCTGAGCACTCTGTTGCCTCTCAGCAATGAGAACCTCAACAGCGGTGACCAACATGTATGTGCTTACTGCCCGGTGATCAAGTGTGTACTCTCTGAATTCCCCGCTGAGTGCTAGGTTTGTAGTAGCAGAATTCCCTGCTGATACGAGTGTGCAGATATCATTGATAGGGCAACTCTTTCTTTTTGAACAGAAGAGGGGAGAGGCATTCCTGTTTTAAGGAGGAGGAAGAAATTAAACTCAACGGTTGCTTTTTATAAAATTCTTTCTAGGTAATCTACCTGGGGCACGTGCATATGTTGTTGTTGTGAGGTGCTATCGCGTGAGTACCGACTCATAGAGACCCTATGTACAACACAATGAAACATTGTCGGGTCCTGGGCCATCCTCACTACTGTTGCCACGCTTGAGCCCATTGATGCTGCCACTTTGTCAGTCCATCTCTCTGGGGGTCTTTTTCTTCTCCTCTGACCCTCCACCTTACCAAACATGATATCCTTCTCCAGTGACTGGTCCCTCCTGACAATATGTCCAAAGTATGAGAGACGAAGTCTAGCCATCCTGGCCTCCAAGGAATGCTCTGGCTGCACGTTTTCTAACACAGATCTCTTGGTTCTTTTGGCAGCCCATGCACTTTCAATATTCTCCTCCAACACCACAACTCAAAAGCATCAATTCTTCTACAGTCTTCCTTATTTCACTGTCCAACTTTCACATGCATATGAGGTTTTGAAAATACCATGGCTTGAGTCAGGCACACCTTAGTCCTCAAGCTGATATCTCTGCTCTTCAACACTTTAAAAAATCTCTTTAGACGATGATGTGGCGAGATGGAGCAGCTGGAAACTTTAGACCCAGAGAGGGAGAGGGGCTGTTTGCAGATGACCTGGGTGAAGGGAGGTAGGTTTACAGGGTGTACCCTTTGGTTGGTTGATGGTGCATGGAGGGGATTGTAATCAATATACGATAGGATGAATGTAAAACTAATGTTCGCCTATGTAAACTATCACATAATTCACAATAAAACATTAAAAAAAAATCTCTTGAAAAAAAAATTTAAAACATTTTATAGTAGAAAATATTTATATAGGGAATATATTTATTATAATGTGTAGTATGCAAACTTTATGATGCAGAAGCAGAAAGACAAGACACCTACTGTCAGCAACTGTCTGCTATTTTTGTTTTATCCCTCCCCCACATTCTTTTCCTGAAGCTTTTAAAGTAAATCCCAGGCAGTATTTCGGTTCACTCTAAAATAGTTCAGTTTGTATCTCCAGCAGGTAGGCTGTGTGTGTGGTGAAACATACACAACAAACAAACAGAGTCACAGCAGTTCCTCAGAGCACAGTTCAGTGACATTGTTCACATTCCTCACGTTCTGCAACCTTTTCCCAGTCTTTCTACCACCACTAACAGAAACTCACTGTCACTGTTCCCTAAGCATAAATTTCCCTTTTGATTAAGATTTATTAGAAACAACCTTTGTCATACCCAACAAAATTAGCAATAACTCCTTAATATCATTTAATGGCTCATGCATGGTAAAGTTTCCCCAGTCATCTCAAAAATACCTTCTTATAGTTTGCTCAAATCAGAATCTAACCAACCTCCATACTTTGCATGTGGCTATGTCTCTTCAAGTCTCTTTTAATCATCAATAATTTCCCCCCTGCTGTCTTTTTTTTTTTTTAATTCTGTTTACTTGTGGATGAAACACTGGGTTATTTGTCTGGTAGAATTTCCCACGTTCTGGAATTTGCTGACTCTGGCCTCCCTGTATCATTACTGCATTCTTCTGTCCACCCAAATTCCTATCAACTAGTGCTCAGAGCTGGGGATTTGATTCAATTCAAGACCAATTTAGGGTTTTTTGGCTCCCTAGTATGGAGTCCTAAAAGGAGCTCTGGTAGCGTAGTGGTTACGAATCGGGCTGTGAACCTTAAGGTCAGCGGTTCGAAACTACCAGCCGCTCCGCAGGAGAAAGATGAGGCTTTCTACTCCCGTAAGGATTTACACCCTCGGAAACCCTATACAGGGTCGCTATGGGTCGGAACCTACTCGATGGCACTTAACAACAACAACTACAAGTATGGAGTCCTGGTGTGATGCTGTGGGTTAATGCACCAGACTGGAAAGCTGTTTGAACTGCAAGGTTGGTGGTTCAAGCTCACCAGCTGCTCCTCGGAAACCCTATCCAGGGTCGCTGTGGGTCGGAACCGACTCAATGGCACCTAACAACAACAACAACAACAACAGTTTGTCTTATCAGGAATATCATATCTGGCTGTTTCACTTGTAGATGTCAAATTTGATCCTGCGTTTAGATTAGAAGAATGTCAGTTGGGCCTTTTATCAGATTGTTGTTACTGTTGTTAAGTGCTGTAGAGTTGATTGTGATTCATAGTGACCCTGTATAGGGTTTCCGAGGAGTAGCTGGTGAGCTTGAACCATCAACCTTGTAGTTCAAAGGACTTTGCAGTCTGAGGCATTAAAGCAACAGTGTAATTACCTGGGGCAAAGGGACCTATTTATATGACAACCCCTCTTGTTGCTCTGTTGTGTCTGTAAATGCATTCAGGGAGTAAGCTACTTCCTCTGCCTCTGGGGAAAAAAACTCACGCAAAAACTCTGGTCGTATCCAGGCAGAACTTGTTTTAATTGTATTTTTTTATTGAACTGTAATTCATTACCATAGAGTTCAGTGGCTTTTAGTATGTTACCAAAATGGTGATTCTGTTACTCTTCTCAATTCTAGAACATTCTTATCACCCCTCAAAATGAACCTTTTCACTCCTATTTCTTCTTGGCTCCTGTCAACATGGATCTCATAGATTTACCACAGATTTCTACAGATTGTTGTAATATAATGCCGATCCATAAACTTGAATGGGGAAAAATTACATGTAGGTTTATTTTTCACATCAAATTGAAGATTTGCATTTCCATTATGAAAAGGAGTCCTTTACATAATGGGTTAAGCATTGAACTGCGAGTTGGTGGATCAAATCCATCAGCTGCTTCAAGAGACAAAGATAGGGCAGTCGGCGTCTGTACAGATTTATATCTGAGAAGCTCTAAGCAGGAGAAATGCTCAGAAACCCAGCTCTGTCCTAAGGGTCACTGTGAGTCGGAATTGGCTTGATGGCAGTGGGTTTGTGTGGTTTCCATTATGATTGTAACAAGTAAACACTGGTAGTATGTAATACATGTGACGTCACCAGTAGAAACCACAGATTGCTTCATATCACATCACAGTTATTGCAGATACCTGGAAATAGCATTTATACTAATCACTACCTCAGAATCAACAACAATGAGCTCAAATGTAACAACAGTTGTGAGGATGACACAAGACTAGGCAGTGGTTCATTTTGTTTTGCATAGGGTCACTACAAGTCAAAGCTGACAACAACAATCTCAGAATCACAGGGAATTCCAACAGCTGCTAGGTTATTTAGTGCATTCATAAAGAAGAGCGTGTGTTATATAACAACTTTGATGTTTTGAAAAACACTGTTAGTCCTGCTATACCATTGACAAATTGGTTCCTGAAGATCACCATGCCATGCAAAATCACAATAAAAACCACAAAACTTATAAGATGAATGGGGTTAGGGACATAACAGGGAAAAAGTGCACCAGTGCCACATTAAAAAACAAACAAAACAGAGCTAGGAATGTAATAAAAACAGTAGGAGGTTTGTTTCCACATATTAAATTGTTAAGAAACACACAAATACAATGATACATATGGGGCTTCACCCTGGAAGGGACCTGAAGCTTGCCTATGGGTTGCAGCCTAGGAGTTACAATGAAGTGCTAGGGGAAGAGTTTTCTGAAATCGATGGCAAGCTGTAAACACAGGTGTGGATGGATGGGTGTGGTCAGCAGATGATGGAGTCCAGGTAGCCAGAGAGTGGGTGGTGGTGGTGGTGGGGGGGGATGGAGCCTTACTTAACTCAGCTCACCTGGTATTTTTCATGGACAAACTCACACGTAAGCAAACACAGAATGCACATTATGCTCAGATTGTTCTTTTGGAGCAGATCCATGTATTCGATGCAGGTGTTGTAGCCGAAGTGCTTATCAGCATATTAGGTCTGACAGACTCCTCATACTCAGGGCTTCCAGCTCCTCTCTTAGCATCTTCTTTTTAGGACTGACATAGAATTCCTGTCAAAGATGAAAGCAATAACTCCCTCATTTTTGTCCCCACAGTGTGTGTGTATGTTACCATCAGTGGACCTATCCTAAATGATGGCTGTTTACATACATGTTACCCATTCCACTGCATACTTGCTTATCACAGCATGTTATGGTTGATCATGTACATGTCCCTGTTCCATGATAGGTGTGCCTGTCTCTGCATGTGATGTTGATTACATACATGTCCCCGCTCCACATTAAACACTTTGAGGCACCTGTTTCTTCCACGTGGGTCCCTCGCTGTACAGCACAGGACATAACACAGACCATGGTCACTAAGTCGTTGAAATGAACTGATAGGAAGAGTGCAGACACAGGCAGTGACCCCAGTACAGACTGTGAATATACTAAAGCCAATCGAGGCTGCTGCAAAGAGTGTAAGAGTTTTTGAGCTAGAAAGACCCTGAAGAGAGCTCCAATTCTAGCCTTTCACTTGGCAAGTGATGAAAAGTGAATCAGCTCAGCATCCTACAGCTAGAACCAGGTAATCATTTAGCTAGAAGAAACACTGGCTCCAGATGTAATGTGTTTTCCAATGGATTGATGAACACGTCCTAAACATGTTGGGAAAATGGAATTTAATTACCAGAAATATACTTGGCAACAAGCTTTGTACAAACCTCCCTATTTATTCTGAACCGGGTATCTCTAGATACAGAACTAGGAGACAGTTTTGTGGGACAACCTTAATGCTTGGCAGTAGTGGAACAGGGCAAAGATCAGAGCAGCCTGTCTGCTCCACGCAAGTTTAGCCATCCACTTCTACAGACCAGTGGCCTATTTCAGAGGATGTAATCAAAACAGGATCTGGCATGGCTGTGGGGTGGGGGTAGGATGAGTCACGCTTTCTGCCAGGGCAGCTGAACGTGTCTTCCAAAACTCACACACTGACCCTGTGGCCAGAAGGT